TTGCTAGGACCACATTTAGCTCATGCTGTGCTTTATTAATTAATAAAGCTGTTTGTTAGCTGCCTAAACAGAGAGGAGCATTTTTTTGCTTCAACAAAACACTGCAATTGCCTGTGAGTTGACTTTTATTGAACTAAAAGAGAGACCTGACTGCCACCATTTCAAGGAGGTAATCCAGTATGATTGGTAGGAGAGTGCTGGGAGGTGGGATATTATGTTTTCCCCGTATCCATGTAGAGAATCTCTTCTATTTGTAAGTATAGGTTTTCCCAGAAGAATCTCATCAACTATTGATTAATATTTGTTTTACCTTGTCAGAGCAGGACATTTCGGCATCATGGATCCATGAGGGAGCCAGGCTTTGAGGTTAACTGTGACCAGATCTGGATGGAGAGTCCTGCTGTGATGCTGGGATAGAAGATCGTGATGTGGTGGGAACGCATAGGGAGCGGAGATCACCAGTCATTGGAATATGGAAACCAGGTCTGCCTGGGCCACAATAGTGCTACTAGTATGACCCATGCTTGCTCCTATCTGATTTTCATGATTACTCAATGTATCCAGGGTAACGCTGGAAATGCATACAGAAGTGGGGCTTCCCATTTGAGGAGAAATGCATCTCTTAGAGATCCCTTTCCCAGGGCTGCCCTGGAGCAAAACTGGTAACATTTGCAGTTGGATCAGGTCACTAAAAAGTTGATATCGGGTTGACCCTACTTAGAGAACACTTCCTGGAGGGCTGTTATGTCCAGTACCCACTTGTGTTGGTCTGAGAACAGGCAGCTGAGATTACGGTAACATTGAGAACTTCTGGTAGGTAGGTTACTATGGGGTAATTCAGTGCCATATGCACGAATTCCAAAGTTTCATTGCCTCGGTGCAGAGGGAGTTGGACCGTGCTCCTCCCTGGTGGTTGATGTAGTACATGCAAGATGTATTGTCTGTTAGGATGCAGATCACCTTCTTCTTGATGAGTGGGAGAAAATGAAGGCATGCGTAGCATACTGCTCTTAACTCCACGAGTTCAATATGGAGTGTGCTTTCTTGGTAAGACCATTTGCCCTGAACAGCATGGGACTCCAAGTGTGCTCCCCAGCCCACACAGGAAGTGTCTGTAGTTATGGTAATCTTCAGGGATATTTCTTGAAATGGGATGTCCTCTCGCATAGGCTATGTCTAGACTGCAAGCCTCTTTCGAAAGAGAGCGTCTAGACTGCACGTTGAACTTTCGAAAAAGTGGCTTGCTTTTTCGAAAGAAAGCATCCAGTGAGTCTGGATGCTCTCTTTCGAAGAAGCCCTATTTACATTGAAGAATGCCTTCTTTCGAAAGAGGAACTTTCGAAAGAAGGCGTTCTTCCTCGTGAAATGAGGTTTGCCGCCATCGAAAGAAAAGCCGCGTTCTTTCGATTTAATTTCGAAAGAACGCGGCTTGAGTCTGGACGCAGGGGAAGTTTTTTCGAAAAAAGGCTACTTTTTTCGAAAAAACCCCTGAGTCTGGACACAGCCCTCGTGTGCAGCTATGTCCACCAATGTAGGGAAGATAAGATGTGGTGCAGTATATTGACTATTTTGTGAAGGGAGTCGCTGGAGGGGATGTAAATCGTAGCCAGCCATGTTTGGAGGTACCTCGTATAGAGTCTGGCTAGTCTCAGCACATATATTGTGGCCGCCATATGACCAAGTATTTAGAGACAGGTGCGTACTGTCATAAGAGGTGAAACTTGTGCAGTGTTTATGAAGGCAGTGAGTAAATCAAACCTGTGTTTGGGTAGTGTTGCTTTGGCTATGATGGAGTCTTGTCAAGCTCCTATGAACTTAAGAGTCTGTGTGGGCTGCAATGTGGATTTTGATAATTGATATGGAATTCAAGGCTGAGTAGTAGAATGTATCCTGGGTATCTTGATAGGATGTGTCTTTGATAAGGCAGTCATCTAAATAGGGAAAAATTATCTTTCCTATGTGGTGGAGGTATGCCACTACTACAGCCAGGGTTTTTGAGAAGACTCTCAGTGCCGTTGATAAACCAAATGGAAGAACTCAGTATTGGTAATAGTTGGTTCCTACAGTAAAACGTAGGAAATGTCCATGTGCTGGATGAATAGTTATATAAAAATTAGCATCTTGGAGGTCAAGGGCTGAGACTCTATCTCCACTGTCTAATGCCAATATGATGGTTGCTAACGTGACCATCTTGAACCTTCAGTTCATTTCGTATTCGTTGAGTTTTCTGAGATCAGGTATGGGTCTCCACCCCCCATCTTCTTTTGCGTGAGGAAGTATTTTGAGTAAAACCCTCATCCATGATAAGCCAAAGGGACTAGTTCTATGGCCCCGATTTGTAGCTGATGTTGAACCTCTAGTTGTAGCAGGTTTTTGTGAGAAGGGCCCCTGAAGAGGATTAGGGAGGGAGTGTAGGTAGGGGGAATAGATGTGAAAGGTATAGATTAGCCCAAACTGATTATCTCTAGCACTCACCGGTCGGGTGTTATATCCGTCCATCGTTGGAAAAAGAACCGTAGCTGGTGGACAAACTGAAGGTTGGACAGCGTAGAAGGTGGCATAGAGGGGATGTTGCTTGCGCTCTCCAAACCTTCAAATTTGCTGTTTGGACATGGATGGTTGGTTTGTGCTGGATTGATGTTGATGCTGTATGTGCACTTTTGTTGTCTGTATCTTTGTTTAAAATGGTAGGGTCTGTGAGACTGCCTATATGACTCCTGTGGCCTTGAGTGGGAATTGTATCTCGAACACTTATTGGGCAGTGTGCACATCCCTAATGTTCTAAGGGTAGTGTGTGAATCTTTCATAGAGTGTAACACCTAATTGGTTTTACTGGCAAATAAGTGGGACTTATCTAATGGAAGGTCCTCTGCTTTGAGCTGCAGCTCCTTCGGTATACCCAAGGCTTGGAGCTATGAGGTTCTGCACATAACAATTGCCGTAGCAGTGCTGCTTGAAGTGCTGTGCGGGCAATAGTGTGACCCTCATGCATTATGGCTTGAAGATAAGGATGCTTTTGTTCTGGGAGAAACTGGATGAGGTCTTGCAGTTTTGAATAACTGGTATGGTCATAGTCAGCCAGGAGTGACGAATAATTGGCTGTGTGTAGTTGTTAAATGGTTGAAAAGTAAACTTTTCTGCTCAGTATATCAAACTGGTAATGGTCTTTGTCCTGGGGGATAGGCCAGAACTGGGGATACTTGGTTCTGTGATGTACAGCGTCTATCACCAAGGAGTTTGGGGACAGACGCAAAAAAAAGAAAGTCCATACCCTTCGCGGGGACAAAATATTTTCTATCAGCACTCTTGTTTGTGGGCATAATTGAGGGGCGTGTCTGCCAAATAGTGTCAGCTGGGTTGAGAGAGCTCTACCTATGGATGAAGCCAATCTTAGAGGATGTAGGAGGTTGCTGAAAATGAAGAAGCCTGCGTTGCTTCTCTTGTCCTTCTTGGAGGCCTATCACCTGTGCATTGGTCACTCGATTGAATAACTCCTGAAACTGCTTTAGGTCATCTGTAGGAATTGGGGTCAAAGGGTTGATTGTGGTACATGGGTGGACCTGGATGCACATGATTCCCAGGGAGGGCGTCTCTGTGTCGGTGACGAGAACTTGCTTTGTGGTCCTATATCTGACTTAGTAAGTGATATTGACAGTGCCAGTGAACCAAGGAAATATATTGAATGGGCTAATGATGCCAGTGAATGCATTGTCAACTGGACATCCATCTGAGTATGTTCAGTCTTGGTGAACCCTTGTGTGGTGCCAGCTTGGTAGGTGCTGCTGATGGTGTTGTCGGTACCGGAGGCAGCGTCAGTATTGGTGTCCTTGGAGGTGACGTTTCAGCACAGGTAGGCTTCAACACCATCTTCGGTGCTGGTTTTGGTGTGGTCTTAGATGCCGTGTCAGGCAACGGTGCCATCAGTGCAGATGTTGAGGCCAGTGCCAAGGACTTGTGCCTGGGTCTGGAATGTGCACGTTTGTGTGGTGTGCTATGTTTCATCAGCATGGTGCTGGAGGTGCTGGGCTTATCAGCAATGCTAGCACAAGAGGATCTCAGTGCCAAGGGCAGGGATCTGGCTGGAGATGTCCTGGCCTTTGTCTTTGCCCTGTCTGAGTATGAGGAGAGATGATTCTTATCAGCAATTTGAATGTTTTCTCTCCCTTGAGTCCACGCTGAAGTGAGAGAGTCCTCTCAAGTTGGCTGGAGGGATTTCTCATAAACTCTTGAGGCGATTTGCTCAGTCTCGTCTTGCTTGTACCGTAAAATTGGAGCAGTATGGGCATTTCTGGAAGAGATGGCCTTCTCCTAGGCATTTTATACAAGAGGAGTGACTGGCAGATTCAGGCATAGCATCTCTACACAAGTTGCACCTCTTGTAACCTGGTGAACCACGCATATTGAACTGCAGAGAATGCAGGGAAAATGAACTTTTTTTTTAAGTTGTGGGGGTTTTGTTTTTTAAATTAAAAATTGGGGGATGCATCCAAAAACTTGAAGAAGGATAAAAACTGAGGAACCTTTCAAACTATTTTATCATTTTAGGCCTGAGGAGGATGACTGCGAAGGAGCTCTGTCTGCTGCCGAGGACATTAGAAAAGGAACGGAGGCACCATGCCACGTGCACAACTAATGGACACTAACAGCACAAGGAGAAACTACTGCACATGCATGACACAGCAGGGCACTGCTAGAAAAGAGCTCTGATCATTGATGCGAGGACACACCCAAACCTAGAGTGGAGCACCCACAGGGACATCACTCGAAAAATAATTAGGGAAACCTTAGCTTGGATTATATTCGATATTGCTTCCTCCAGTTTTCTTGGAAGTTGGAGGACTTAAATTACTTTCAGCAAAGTTTCTGGAGATTATTAGTTCTTCTACTTGATTCCAATCCTAAATAAAACCTATCATGCTTACTTACTTGCCATGCACAGAAAGAACATGATTATACCAAGACCATTCTTCTCCCACTAAAGTGCAATCAAATCAACTTACCTTTTCACTTTGCCTGGCTGCTCATAGTTGCTCAAATTGGAATGAGTGTTACTTTCCCTATTGGGTGCCTCTTTGAGATCTGGCCCTCGGATACGATCAAGGAAAGAATCTGGCCTTTGGTCTTCATCGTGCAAATGTCCTCTTGCCCATGATCTCATAGATAAGATGAAACGGGATAACCTGCAAGGAAGAGACACACAATGTTGTCTGAACAGACAAGAATCCTAGGGCCTGGCTCAAAGCTTCCTCCAGGGCCTGAGCTATCCCAAGCAGCAGCTAGAAACCCCTCTGCATAAAAGGAACTTGGGCAGAGAGTATCCCAGATAGGATTTTCACAGCTTCTGGACCCCTGTCACACCACTGAAATCTGACATTTTGCTATATAATACTAGCCACCTGCTGCAACTTCCACATCAGGGCCTCCCCATCCTCTCACATGGTAAAGAAACCAGGAAGGTACTTTATTCACCAGGCCTCAGTGTCCCTTACGAGTATGGCAGGGATAGGAGCCAGAGAGACATCACTAGCTGCCCGATCAGCAGGCAGCTTGCCAAGCGGGACAGGGACTGGACATCATCAAGAGCTCTGGAAGCTTCTGACATTAGGAGTAATGTAAAGAGGTGAGGCATCCTGTGCTATGGGGAGAGAGGAGATGTTGAATCCTCATATGATGACATATCCAATGGTGGCCAAATGAAGTAAGGACAAAGAGTGATTGGATGGTGAAAAAGAATGGCTTGTGAATTGATTTCTGAGAAGTGATGGATGCTGGAAATTCAAATTAAGTGGTCACTTACCTTTTAAGGACATTTGAGTGGGCTGAGAGTGTGGATGTATTTTATAAGTAACAGGGCAACCTGATTTTGTAAATCTCATCTGTGATTCTGACAGACCACTTGTATGAGCTCTTACCAAGACTGTAGGCATTAGCTAAGAACTGAGAAACTGACAGTTGGACACCAGACAATTTACCTGTGTGTGTTGATTTTGCTTAAAATAGGTATTAGTTTTATAATAATGTTTAGTATTTAGACTCTATGAAATGCTCTTAAGTTGCTGCTTGTGTTACTCTCACTTGTAGTGCCTGTGTTCCATGCCATCAGAAAATACAGACGTTCTGCTGTATAACTTTGAAAAAATTTGCTCTGAACTTGTGAACCCAGACACAGGAATCCTTCCTCTTCTCCTTCCCCCACACCAGGCCCTTTGCAGAAGGATCATCATAATTTAAAAAGTCTCAGAGGGGTAGCCGTGTTAGTCTGTAACTTTAAAAACAAAAAGTAGTCCTGTGGCACCTTAGCCCTGGTCTACTCTAGGGAGCTATTTCAAAATAACTCCCCTTATTTCAAAATAATGAGCAGAGCGTCCACACTACCAAGCCCATTATTTCAAAATAATGGGGCTGGTCAGTTCAAAATCTGTACTCCTGCTTTCCTTGGGGAATAATGCTATTTCAATTTTGTTATTTTGAAATAATTTCCTAGTGTAGACATGCCCTAAGAGACTAACAAAATTATATAGCATCATGATATTTCATAGGTAAATCCCACTTCATCAGGTTCTGTCCCATCCCACCGGTTCCGATGAAGTGGGTTTACCCACAAAAGATCATGATTCTACACGGAGCGGCCTGAGGTGGGCCACGGCAGCAGGCGCCCCAGGCAGAATGCGCAATTGGCACCTCTGCCTGCACGGCCTTCAATGGAGTGATGTCATCATCGGGCACCCCGTGACGTCATCATCGGGTAGCCCGTTGAAGGCGGCGCCCTAGGCAACGGCCGAGTCGGCCTATAGTCACGGGCCGCCCCTGATTCTATATAATTTTGTTAGTCTCTATGGTGCCACAGGGCTACTCATCACAATTTAAATGGGTATTACAAGACAAAAGCTTTGTTAATTGCCTTAACCACCACAGGGAAGCACATGCAGAAGGCCTCTTCCTATCTCTGAATACGGGAAGAGAGAAATAAAGATAGTGGATGTGAAGGTCCACTAATTTTCATCGTTTTCAGTGTTTCATCTTTTTCTTGCTTGATCTCCCACAGGGCAAGAGAAACCAAACTGAAGCCAGACAGCTCCAAGGGTTACTTCCTGGGTCTACCTGAAAGATACTTTGAATTGATAGATCTCTTCAGCTCTGTCACTCTTACGATTTAGATAACTCATTTTTGTATATAGGTTTGATTGCTTTAACCTGTAAATAACTCTCTTTTCTCCCCTGTAGTTAATAACTCCTTACATAATTTATTACAGGATTGGCAACAGGCCTTATCTTAGGTGTAAGATCTGGGATAAGTGACTGGTCTCTTGAGACTGGAAACAACCTGCATGTGGTGGGATTACTCAGTGTAAGTGATCATTTATCACTAAGTCCAGTGTGTCTGAATGACATGACAGACTGGGGAGTCAAAGGGACTATCTGTGACTTTATAATAGAACTGCTACAGCGAGCCAGGAGTTTACATTTGTTACTAACTTGGTAAACTCTATTTATAGAGCATACCACCAGTTTGAAATATCTGCCATGTTTCTGACATACTGTTCTGAAGTAGGCACTCATGGTTATGGGCTACTCCAGCCATCATGACATCATCTATATACCTTCCTATTTCCCATTTGTAGCTTCTGACAGTTGCACCATGTAAATACTTGAGGGCAGACAATAGATCTATCTGTATGTTCTCCAAGGTGTCCATAATACAGTGTGCAAAATGGTTTGAAAGGTTCCTCAGTTTTTATTCTTCTCCAAGTTTCTGGTCGCTTTTCCCCATTTTTAATTAAAAAAAAACAAACTTAAAAAAAAGTTCATTTTCCCTGCATATGTGATGTTTATTTCACATAGTTAATGACTATATCAGGAGACAAACAGAATTCTGTTGAAATTCTTTAGATCAGACACAGAGGCCCCTTTTTAAGAATGTGCTTAAATCATGTTCAACTTCAGATATATGTTTAATTCCCATTAACCTAAATGGGCCTTGAGCATATTCCTGAGTATAAGCATATGCTTAAGTTCTGTACTGGATAGAGATGCTTTCCTGAATCTGGGCCAAAGTCAGCCCCTCCAACCTTTGTTGACTGAAGCTTCATGTGCATCATAGATGTAATTTAATCCTAAAAATACCCCCAAATCCCTGTATTCTTGAAGTCTACTATCCGCTTTCTTGTCAGAGCCATCCACCACCAACTCTGGGAGATAATAGTTATTATGCTCTTATAACATAAAAGTTAACAATCTGAAAAAAATCTTATATATTCCTTCACTTACTGTCTAACTTTACTAATTATTTTCCTCCTTATTCAATTAATTTTCAACTGATTAATTTTTTTCCTAATTGAACTAAAATGTGCTTATCTGCTGGAGCCAATTCACCAACCCCAGCACACAAAATTAATCTATAAAGTACAAAAATAAGGTCAAAGCATCTTTTGCTCCATTTATGTTTATTATAGGCTCTTCTGTTTCCAGATGGATTGAACTCATTTTCTAGTAAGTCTATTGCTGCCACCTGGTCATCCCCCATTCAACAACCTTTTGCAGATCTGCTACCCTTTACCATTCAAAATTAAGCTAATTAGCCAGTTACCTAGCCATTGCTCCAGTGCCTGTGAACGAACTCCTGCGGGATTCAGACAAGCCTCTTGTCTCCATGGAAATGACTCTCTGCAGTTCTGAAGAAGTGTCCTCACACAGTGAATTGGTCCTGCAAAATCAATTTTTAAAATGAAGGATTTTATTCAGCCTGCAATGCATTTGCCACACATTCAATTCTTCCACTTACATAATAAGGGGAAACAATACTGTTCTCCCCATCATAAAGGCTACTGAAGCTAGGTACAAAGTGAACACGTCAGGTCTAGTTAACTAATTTTCCCCTCCCTCTGGACTACAGACATTTCTGCCCGTCTGTCTCGCCAGGCAGTAATGTCCTGGCCATTCAACCTGACAGATTTCATGTGCTTACAGCAGCGGTCTCCAACCTTTTTACACCTGAGATCACCTTTTAAATGTCAGAACAAGCCAAGACCTACCGCCCCATCCTTCCCTCCCAAACCCCACCCCTTCCTTGAAGCCCACCCTCTCTATTTTCCTCCTCTCCATCACTTGCTATCCCAAGCCCTTATACACGCTACACTGCCACTTTTTTTTATTATTATTATTCTGTAGGAAGAGGTTTTTCCAACATTTGGCCTGTCTAGACTGGTCCAAATGTCAGGAAAAAACCCTTCTTTTGGAAGCTCTTTTATTCCTCGTGGAATGATAAATACAGGGGTTACCAAAAGAGCATGTTTGCTCTTCTACTAAAAAAAGCGGAAGAACAAACGCGTCCCTGGATGCGGAAGAGTTTTTCCAGGATATCTCTGGAATCCCAGAAAAACTCCTGTAGTCTAGCCGTACCCTCACTGGGTTGAGACAGGATGTGTGGGGTCTGGGGTGGGAATGAAGGATTTGGGTGTGGGAAGGCATGAGAGGTGCAAGCTCTGAGAGGGAATTTGGATGCAGGAGGAGGTGAAGAAGGGGATGCTGGCTCGGGGAGGGGGCTCCAGGCCAAGGAGTGTTGGAGTCAGATGTAGGGTTGGGATACTAAGAAAGCCACAGGCTTGTGGATGTGAGGGTGCAGAGATTTGGGTTGGGGTATGTGAGGGGCTTAGGGCAGGAGGGTCCAGTGTATGATAGGCTCAGATCTAGGGTCGGGGGGGGAGTGCAGGATTGTTATGATGCTGCGGCCAGATTGGGGCTTGGCCCCAGTTGGTGGTTTGTTGGTCAGGCTTCATTTTTAAATAAAATACTATGTCAAACACAAAAATTTTCTGCATTGTCTTTATTTATGAGAAGGGGGGAACCTGTTTTGAGTCAGGGGTCACTGACCCACAGAAAAGTCAGTTGCGGGCCACACAAGTGAGATGCAAAAAAATAACTCCTCCAAAAAAAACCCCCAGCCTCACTAATGTGGCTCCAACTGTGCTGGTGGGAGCAGGGGATATGGTACTGGGGAAGGGTAGTAGTGGGTGCTGGGGCAGGGGACAGGGTGCCAGTGGGGGCAAGGGACAGAGTGTTGCCGGGGGCAGGGAGTCCCCCGCACCTGCCTCCTCCCAGGACTCTTCCCACCTCCCCTGCACCCCCTGCCACAGAGCAGGGAAGCCCCGGTGCATGCCTCTTCTGGGGCTGACTCCTCCTCCCCCCGCAAGTTCCTGGCACGCCACAGACCTGGTGGAGGGGAGCAGCCAGTGCACTTCCGGAACCCCTGGAAGTGGCACGCAGCTGTAGGACTTCCGTCCACCCTGCAGGAAGTTGGCACTACCTCCATTGTCACTGGAGGTAGGTAGTGGGGCTTCTTGGGGGTGGAGGGAAATGGGGGGTCTGAACACCTTGTGATCGACTGGTCGAGCCCTCGTGATCGACCAGTCAATCACCATCAACAGATTGGTGACCACAGGCTTACAGCTTAGCTTGGAATTAAACATCTTTACAAACCCTTTGTGAAAAGCAGCACCCTCATTAGTTACTTGCTGCTTATTTTCCCCCAGAAATGGCCATTTGTTCCTTAAGTGATATGGGGAGTTACAGTGATAACATCTCTTAGGCTCCTTTGTCTGTATAGGAGACCTGGGACTGGTAGCAGGGGAGTGTACTTGGGAAGTATTGCCAGCCTCCCAGCCAGCCTCCCTTTTCTCAGGGGAAAATTGGGGACTCTGCCCCTCCCCCATATTTAAACCCCTCTGTTTGAGATTTCTCCTTTCGAGGTGTTTGAAATTGCTCAAATTGATCATCAAAGCAAGCAAGAACCTCCACGTTCTCAATGGATTTGTCCCACAGATACTGCTTCACATTATCATCAACCATGTCCCGGAACTGTTCCTGAACAATGAGATCACACGTGATCACACATTATCTAGCATACCCCTCATTTGGTTAACAGAAGCCACATTACTTAGCCCAGCCCTTCTCTCAAGGGTTCTACATTTCACTCAGTAAGGTTCAGGTGTAATCTGAAACTGTCTTAAAACCAAATCTTTGAATTTACCATAGTCTGAATCATCAGTAATAGACATCTTATTGAATACGCGTAGGGGTCTCCTTTTCCATTTTGCAACCAGAGTAAGTATCTTCTGCTCCTCAGGAATTGGATTGATAGTGCACAGTCTTTCAAAGGTGATGAAATATTCGGTGATATCTCTGGACTCCTCATAAGTGGGGCACAGTCGGTCCCACTCTTGGATTTGGAGAGGAGGGTCTTGCTATGTTGAGATGCTTACTCCTGAAGTCAAGTACAGCCAGTTCATGCAGTCTCTCTCTCTCCCTGTCCTCTTGAGCAGATTTTTGTGCTTCCTTCTGGGCTTCCAGGGCTAACTCATGGGCTTTCCTCTGGGTTTCTGAGGCTAAATCACAAGCAGCTTTTTGTTCAAGCTATCTTAATGCCAAGCTGTCTTGTGAGCAGCTTTTTGTTCAAGCTCTTTCAGTTCCATGGCCCTTTGATGGGCTTTTTCTTCTCTGTCTCTTTCTAGCTGTTTTAATTCCAAGCCTCACTCATGGGCAGCTTTTTCCCGGACAGTTTAGGCTTCTATCTCAAGCCTCTTTATTATATTTGTCTCTTATGTTCTGCCTCCTTGTCTACTGCTTGGATCCTTTGCAGTTCCAGTTTCTTCTGAACCTCGCTCTCACTCATTTTGCTGATTTTCCTACTTCTATTTCCCTTACCCGAAATAAGCAAATAGAAAAAACAAAGTAATCACTCTCTGTCCTCTAAAAGCCACTTAGAACACACTTAAAATCACTACTAGCATCCAGAGCAACCGGCTGTGTACATTTTCCCTTCTCAATGCACCATTGTGATAGGGTGTGGTCACAGAAAACCTTTTAGAGCTGCTTCCCAATATGCTGACAAAGCCACTGAAACTCACCTTCTTGCTCTCTGGGGCTTCTCACCACCCTGACCTGGTGGGCCAGAATGAAAGGAGGACGTGCACACTGATTGCTCCCCCAGGTAACAACTATTTACACTGGACTTGATAATAAATAAAAGCAATTTTATTAAGTACAAAGAGTAGGATTGAAGTGGTTGCAAGTGGAAACAGGCAGAGTGAAGTAAATTATAAATTTTAAATAACGGAAAGCACATAGCTAGTATAAACACCCTAAATCTTATAGCAAAATTGCCCTAAAACTGTTCTTATTTCAGTTAAACTTCCAAAACTGGGAAGATCTTTTTTTCCCTGGGGTCTCTACTTCATTCTCTTGGGAGTAAAATGCTAGTCAAAGACAAAGAGCCTGAAAACTTTGCATCCTAAATAGATATCCCTTTGAGTGGGAATTCTGTTTCTACATTCCCCCATCCATGGGAAATTAGTTGGTCAGACATTACTGGTTGGGGTGGTCTCATGTCTTCCTAGCACCAACCACTGCTCAGACTTAGAGGACAAAAGAGGCAATTTACCAGTGATTACTTAGACACTGAGGTGTCCCAGCATTATGAAAGCCATTAAGGGTGTTTCTTTGTACATTTAAAACCATAAACCATTCCCTATTCCATATCACTAACTTTACATACAGGCATGATACATACACCAAAATAAGATATACAGATTTAGCATGAAAACTGATAGGTTACATGAGGTATTTTGTCCAAAGCATCTTCAAATTATGCATATTTGTATCTATAAAATAATTTCATAAAGCGATGGGGACCATCACAATAAGAATGTATATTAAAATGTTAAGGCTAACTAAGGAACAAGTGTTCCTTAAGTGACTTGCCACAAGATGTCAGAGTATGTTAGTATTAGAGCTGAGTGGTCTATATTTATTTAATATTCTGTCATTTGTATAGGGATTAGATACAGTGCTCCTGTCAGCTAATTGCTAAGTTATCTGATAAAACATTAGAGTTTTCAAGTGCCTTAGTAGCCCTTCACACGGCATACACAGGTCACTCTCACACCTACCAACATCTGAACTAGTATCCCTGCCCTTTACCTTACCCAGGGGCCAAGCAAGTCTGTTAGCCCCCTTTGCCTATATCCACACATTATGGGAGGATGCATTTTAAAAATCAGAGCTAGAGTTTTTTGGTACAGTGGACTAGGTTAGTCACATACCTTCACTCTCAGTCACACTTGTAAGTTACAGAGACAAAACTCCTCTGTATATTATGTGGGGCAGAGACTCTCTCTCTTATTCTTTGTTGTAGAGACTGTCTAGTTTGGCCAATTACACAAATCAGACATCAGAACTGGTAACACACATAAACCTGTAGGGGTGAGGAAAGGGAGGGAAGAAGGAAGGAAGGAAGGAATTTTGCCTGCAAAAGGAATATGGCCTAGTCTTAGGATCATCAACAACTATGCAGCAGCGTCACAATGCAGAAAGAGAGGGTAACATGCCCTTTTCCTGCCCCTTCCCCTGCAAAAATATCAAATTCTCTCCAGAATTATAGAAACATAGAAGCTAAGGAGGCACACTCATTCTTTCAGAGCTTTGTGCTGAAGGCTTTGACATATTAATTTAGGTAAATTGCTTCCCTTTTTTTATTGTTGTTAACAGATATCAAGGTTAGGAACAGTGAGAGGGGAAGTGTTTACAAAGAATTTAGGCCTGATCTACGCCTAAAACTTAGACTAACCTAGCTACGTGCTCAAGGATGTGAAAAATGTTATTAAACCAATTTAAACCCTGGAATAGACACTACTAGAATTCTTCTGTCAAACTTGGCATCACCTCTCGTGACAGTGGATTTAATACAGACACAGAAAAACCCCTAGGTTACGTCTACACTGCAGGATTTTTGCACAAGAACAGCTGTTCTTGAGCAAAAACTAGGAGAGTGTCTACACTGCACACTCATTCTTGCTCAAGTAAATTTACAGTTAAGTGTCGGTACAGAGGACTTCTTGCACAAGAGTTATTCCTCTCCCCAAGAGGAATAAGAGCTCTTGCGCAAGAAGGCAATGTGGACAGGCAACAGGTTTCTTGCGCAAGAAACCCCTATGGCTAAAATGGCCATCAGAGCTTTCTTGCGCAAGAGGGCGTCACACTGTTATGCACACTCTTGCACAAAAGCACATTTCTTGGTCAAAAGCACATGGGAGTGTGGACGTGCTCTCGCACAAGAACTCTTGTGCAAAACAGTTCTTGCACAAGAAGCCTGCAGTGTAGATGTAGCCCCAATGATGTTCTTGCAATTGTCTACACTATAGTGCTATTGCAGCTGTGACTCAGTAACGCTTATGGTGTAGGCATTCTCTTACACTGAATGTGGGGGATGGACAGAATTAGCTGGAGAAATCCAACCCCTGCTTTCAGTGTAAAAGGAGAGGAAAGTTCCTGGCAAGACAGAGTAGGAACTTGAGATATTTTCTGTAATTTGAGCTGGGATTAAAGAGTAGGACACTTCTCTTTGTCAGGCCTGCAGCAGCAAAGACAGGACAACAGATGGACAGTTGGGTCTCTTCTTCTACTTCATGTCCCAACTTCTCTGTTCCACCTGCCTACCTGTTTTCTGTCTCCCTCTCCCCAGTAAACTACTGGGATTCTAGTCCTCTTCCATTCAAACTGAAAACTGAGAGACGTAATAGAATCAGAGATGTGGATTCTGATTATCTTTGATAATGACTCACGGTTTATAACAAAAGCCTTAATGTGGGTTTGAGGATAAGAACTACCTTTTGAAATTTGTGAAAGACAACAGATGAAATGATGCATTACTAAACATGAGCCTCTGAAGTTCTCCATTCACCCACTTGCCTTTCAGCAATTCCAAACTTTCTAAACGTTCATACAAACACAGGACTTGTAAGCTATCTTGCCCATGTTCATTTCAGTTACTCTAGTAATGTTTTTGCAAAAAATTGAATGGACTTCACAGAGGGTTATCAAAATTCCACAAATTCATCTCATGGTTGCTTAGAATTAGATTCTCACTCACAGCCTGATTAAGCCTATGTTGTCTCTTGATAAATATCTCTCTCTGGCTGTATCTACACTGGGCCACTTATTCCGGAAAATCAGCCGCTTTTCCGGAATAACTTGCCACCTGTCTACACTGGTCCCTTGAATTTCCGGAAAAGCACTGACGATCTACTGTAAGAAATCAGCCGCTTTTCCAGAAATACTATGCTGCTCCCGTTTGGGCAAAAGTCCTTTTTCCGGAAAACTGTTACGGAAAAGGGCCAGTGTAGACAACACAGTAGTCTTTTCTGCAAAAAAGCCCCGATCGTGAAAATGACGATCGGGGCTTTTTTGTGGAAAAGCGCGTCTACATTGGCCACAGACGCTTTTCCGGAAAAAGTGCTTTTCCGGAAAAGCATCCTGCCAATGTAGACATTCTTTTTCTGGAAATACTTATAACGGAAAACTGTTCTGTTTTAAGCATATCCGGAAATTCATGCCAGTGTAGACGTAGCCCCGAAGTGTATATATCATTTTAGTCTGCTGATTGATGTTACAAGTATATTTTATATTTTCCAGCAATCATTTTACAACTTTTTTCTATCTTTTACCTTCACACACAAGAATATTTATTCCAATTACTTTCAATGTGTCATCTCTTTTAAAGGGAGATTACATCTTTTTTACTCATCTGTAAAGTCCTATAATTAATGTTGACCATAGCAAACAGAATGCTTGAAACGAATGTCTTTCCAGGATTACCCTCATCCTGAGAGAGTGCAAATCATGTTACAGACATATATATTTTAGTCCCATTAGTGTCATAATTCAGTCTTTACCTCAGATGTTGTCATTGAATGCAGTAACTCAGTTATATATTTAAATCTTTAGGAAAATGCACTCACAGCTACATCAATAATTCTATTCTGCAAACTATCAGTCACTGGTATCTTTTACTAAAAGGTCATAGGGGAAGGAAGGAAAGAATGATCCTTGCTTTCAGCTACATTTTCTCTGTTTTCCAGTGGTATCGCTGTGTACAGATGCAAACCAGTGCTAAGATTTGCAGTCATGGTGTCTGCAGATCGCCCCAAGTGAGGACATTGTGCAGCATCTCCTGGTCAAATGGGCCATTTTACATGAAACAAACTCACCTCCACTTTTACTATGCAACTGTGCACTGCCTGATATAGCCTGTGTTCAGGTAGAAGGTGTCTGCTCTATACAGAAGCAAATGGAAGGGATCCATAAGGGGGAAATGGATGCGTCCAGGCTCCCTTCTGGTTACTCAACATCCCACACCCATTATTCGCACACCAAATCCAGTCAGGCTAACATGTCTCTCCAGTCTTTGATCCCAAATAATAAACAATCCCCAGCTGTTGCCCCTAAGAAGAGGCAAGCTTGGCTGAGATGATGTGCATCAGCAAGCACAAACCAAGCCATATTTTGGCTGCTGTAAATGCACTGCAGAACATTCAGGATAAATCCTAATCTCCCTCCCCTCTTCATAGGCACAGGACTTGTCTAGACTGGGAAAACAAGTGGTATTTTATAACACAGTAACTCATTTGCTTATACATTATATACTCTACACATTCTCCAAGTCTACCCAAGACCACAGTTGGCCTTGAGCGCAAAGGTGGCTGGTACAAAACCACCCTACAGAAGGAAGATATGAGGAGCCTGCAAAGTAACACACCTCTCCTATGAACCCACAGTCCTGCCAGGGGCTCCTTTTGCCCCAGACTGCAGGAAGGATTGAGAGATGACCTGTCATTAGAGCCAGTGGATTTGTAATTATGCAGGTTCAACTTCCATTACCCCTGGGGAAGCAGTAGCATGGCATGAAGAGAGAATCCCTTCTTCTCCAACCCTTCCAATTCATCACAGTACAAAGCCCAAAAAATCAGTAGTGCCCTGCAAACAGGATTTGGTTTTCCTTAAACATGTCTAATTCCTACTGAAGTGTTGTTACCCAAGAAATGAAATATTTAACTCCACAAACAGAAGTGATGGAAACGTTCCTACTGTTGTGCATTTTGCTAAGTATAGCCACCGCAATGACTGTTGAAACTCAGTTAACTTCACTGGGTCAAACACTGTGTGGGCAAGCATTCCCATAATGCATTGCACTATAGAGGTACCTCAAAATATACAACAATTACTCTCCTTACCTCCGATAAAAGCAATATATTACCTGCTAAAGCCATTTTCAATTCTTTCAATGTCTTCATCAGTGGTCCTAACGGACACCCTGTGCATTGCAGGGTAGGAGTTCTGGGTGTTGATTTTAGCCATTGTGTTTTACATATCAGCATCCAAATGACAGCTAAAACACAAGAATAACATTTTTAAGGACGCAACAGAGATAAAATTGGTTAAATATTTAAAAAGTAATTTGTTAAAAAAATTATGTTAGTAGTTTGTAAAAAGATCTTTAATGTAAAAAGATCTGTAATGATCTTCATAAATGTAATGTGACCACTACTTGGTACATTTAAACTACACAGGGCAGAACATTTGTGAATGTCAATAAAAGATAATCCTGCATTGGCAGAGAAAAGGACTTGATGATTTAATAAGTCTACTTACTGACACACATATTTTATATAATAAAATTACATTCAAACTCTTGTTAAGGAAACATTCAGGTTGAAAAGTCAAGCAAAATAAGTTAGGTAAAGCCTAAATTAAAGTTACCTGTGCAATTTGAATTTGTCCCTCCCTCCCTGCCTGCCTGCTATTCTGTTTCCTCCACACATGTTCCATCTCCTACACTCCCTATCACACAAACAGGCACACACTCCCATCGTACCCCACTTCTGGCTCCTGCCCGTCCCCTGCATCCACTACAATTTCACTCCATCTGTTGCAGATCCCAGCTATTGTTCCCCTCTTACCAGTGAGCTCCTGACCTTTTTCCCAACCTCCCCAGACCCATTCATCCCCTTCATCATCTCTCTGCATTCTGGTCAGATTGCTTCCTCTTTCTCCACCACAATTTCTGTGGAGACCATGGAGAGCACAGGAGGAACTTCCACTGGTTGCAGTTCCTGGCCAATGGGAGCTGCAGAACGAGTGCTCAGGACATGGACAATATACAAGAGTTTCCCTGGCTTCCCATATGCCTAGGAGGTGCAAGGAACTGCCAGCTGCAGCCCAGGAGCCATGTGGAGTCAGGGCAGGTAGGGAGCCTGCCTTAGCCCCTCTATACTGCTGATCAGACATTTTACGGTCTGGTCACCAGTGCCAACTGAGCCACCAGGATCCCTGTTTGACGAGGCATTTCCCATCGAAAACCAGATATCTGGCCATCCTACTAGTATCTGTGAGGAGATGGAACATGCTCAGTATGGACAGAATCTTTGAAGAATTTATCTGCCAAACTCTAACATCTCTACTGAACATGGACAACTGAAATGTTTTTGAAGGCCTTATAATTTGGCCAAATTACAATAGGAATGGAAAAAGGAATATCTCTGACACAACTGTCACTTAGCCCAATTTCAAGTCCTTGCTCCAGAGCATGGAGGAACTAGAGTTTCTCAGTGAAACTTACAGGCTGTGTCTAGACTGGCCAGTTTTTCCAAAAAATCAGCCGCTTTTCCAGAAAAACTTGCCAGCTGTTTACACTGGCCGCTTGAATTTCCGCAAAAGCACTGACTTCCTACTGTAAGAAATCAGTGCTTCTTGTGGAAATACTATTCTGCTCCCGTTCGGGCAAAAGTCCCTTTTGCGCAAAGCTTTTGCGCAAAAGGGCCAGTGTAGACAGCTCAGATTTGTTTTCCGCAAAAAAGCCCCGATTGCGAAAATGTCGATCAGGGTTTTTTTGCGGAAAAGCGTGTCTAGATTGGCACGGATGCTTTTTGCGCAAAAAGTGCTTTTGTGGAAAAGTGTCTGTGCCAATCTAGACGCTCTGTTCCGAAAATGCTTTTAACGGAAAACTTTTCCATTAAAAGCATTTCCGGAAAATCATGCCAATCTAGATGCAGCCTGTGTTTTTTAATCTGGCAAACGACTATTTTTCTTGTTCTCAGAAATAGCTGAACCAGTTCAGTAGGAGCTTCCCCTCAAAATCAGCCTTAGGCAGACACTTAGTACAACTAATAATGCATTTTTCATTATGAATTTTCAGAAGAGGTTGTGCTAAAGTTATTAAACCTTCAGGATTCACACATTTCATAAACCCACTAAAGACCTGCTTACTCACCAACTCCTCCCCCCCAAAAGTATGGCCCCATAAATAACTCAACACTTTTTTGCTTTATTTAAACACATCTACCATATACACACATGCATACATATGCAAGCATGGGCAGAATCATAAATAGATACACATGAAGACACAATTGCAATTATTTTTGTTACATTATTTAATTTGTCTCAATTGCAAGACTGCTTCTGGGAACAGCCATTTTCCAAAATGTTAATTGGTGGTTACTTTCAAGATTTGAAAAGGTGTCATCCTCCTTCGGAACACTCTTGATGGTATCAAAGACTACCTCACTGTTCAATTTACTAAAATCTGCAGATCTGTTTCACGACTTATGCTCTGCCACACCTTGATGGCTTTCAGCTGTGGAGTCATGAGGTGGACTACAAGGAAGAGGCCATGATGTCACAACCACAAATCTCTCCATTTAAAACCAAACAACATGCGTGTTTGCTGGCAAATTGTTAGACAAAGAGGGAAAATAGGGGAGAGAAGGAAAAAATTGCTTCCCTCTGCTAATGATGGTCAGGAAGGAATTTTCCTCCAGGGTAGATTGGCAGAGGCCCTGGAGGTTTTTTGCCTTCCTCTGTAGCATGGGGTACAGATCACAGCTGGAGCATTCTCTGCATCTTGGGGTCTTCAAAGTATTTGAAGGCTTCAATATCCGAGATATAGGTGAGAGGATTATTCTAGGAGGGGTGGGTGAGATTTTGTGGCCTGCACTGTGCAGGGGGTCAGACTAGATGATCATAATGGTCCCTTCTGACCTTAAAGTCTATGAGTCTATGATTTGCTCCTGAAGCCTTTCCAGCATCTGTTATTCATTTCCATCTCTTTGTGCTGTACTAGATTCCAGAAAAGCCATCTTTTAATGATAGTGTGGCCAGCTGCCTATATTTTTCTGCTGTCTATGCCCCTCTGTTCTCATTGCTAAGTCACTTTCTTTAAGCAGTTTCTTACACAAAAGCAGAGCACATTGTAGCGGAGATAAGTAAGCTAAGGTGACAACCTCTTGTCCAGTAGCACCTAGCATCCTGCACCCCTCCCACCCAAACAATTTTTACCTTTGCTCTAGGTTATTTTTGCTCTAGGTTATTTTAGGTGATATGGAAACAGAATAGCTACCAAGAATAGTAATGAACTGAGATGCACAGATCTCTATGTATTACTTCACTAGAAAATTACAGCAAGTTAGGATACAATCTTGAGGAGTTATGTTAAATAAGCATGACCATACCTTTGGCATTGATATTTACCACCACCCAATTGACATGATGACAAACACAACTTGTCCATCTACATTAGCTACAACGTCCCGATCAATATAACTTAAAATGCATTAAGTCAACAGCCTAAAAGAGTATAGATCCAAGCGTACACAGTCTCAAGAGCAATCTCTTTATTATTATTATTTTCAGCCTTCATTTCTTCCTTTAAAAAACCCTCCTTGGGTTTTTTACATGCTTTTAGCTGCTCCTTCAGCCAGACTCTCTCACCCCTCAGTCTGATCTCAGTTTCTTTGAGACCTCTTTTGCCAAACATATGTACCCCTCCTCAAAACAATACTCAGTAAGATTTCCTGGGCAGATTCACGTGTCTGAGGTAAGACTTATGCATCCAGTTAATTGAAGTGTCAGTTCACACCTATCAATTACAGTGGGGTCTTAGCTCAACCCATCACTTAAGTTTCTCCCATCTGATTACAATACGTAACCCCCAAGGATCTCACCTAGGTTACATAAGAACATAAGAACGGCTGCACTGGGTCAGACCAAAGGTCCACCTAGCCCAGTATCCTGTCTGCCGACAGTGGCCAGCACCAGGTGCCCCAGAGAGGGTGGAACGAAGACAATGATCAAGCAATTTGTATCCTGCCATCCTTCTCCAGCCTCTGACAAACAGAGGCCAGAGACACCATTTCTATCCCCTGGCTAATAGCCTTTTGTGGACCTAATCTCCATGAAATTATCTAGCTTCTCTTTAAAATCTGTTATAGTCCTAGCCTTCACAGCCTCCTCTGGCAAGGAGTTCCATGGATTGACTACACGTTGTGTGAAGAAGAACGTTCTTTTATTAGATTTAAACCTGTTACCCATTAATTTCATTTGGTGTCCTCTAGTTCTTCTATTATGGGAACTAATAAATAACTTTTCTTTATCCACCCTCTCCACACCACTCATGATTTTATAGACCTCTATCATATCCCCCCTCAGTCTCCTTTTTTCTAAACTGAAAAGTCCCAGTCGCTTTAACCTCTCTTCAGATGGGACCCGTTCCAAACCCCTACTCATTTTAGTTGCCCTTTTCTGAACCCTTTCCAAGGCCAAAATATCTTTTTTGAGGTGAGGAGACCACATCTGTACACAGTATTCAAGATGTGGGCGTACCATAGTTTTATACAGGGGCAGTAAAATATTCTGTGTCTTATTTTCTATCCCTTTCTTAATAATTCCTAGCATCCTATTAGCCTTTTTGACCACCGCTGCACACTGTGTGGACGTTTTCAGAGAACTATCCACGATAACTCCAAGATCTCTTTCCTGATTT